TGAAAACTCCTGGGCTTCCAAGCAACTATTTAGACCAGTGGTTCTCAAACTCTGATACATGTACTCCTGGGGGGCCATGATGTTGCCACGGGGGGTCTGCGAAGGCTCAGTTAAATCTGAATGAATGGATAGGTAAATGAATGAAAGCAAGAGGGAATGGGAAATGGAACAAAAACTTAATTTTCCATCCTTGTTTTGTATAACTTGGCTTTTTAAACCTATTTCCTCAATTAAAAACAATCAGAGGTATAAATCGGCTATGAATTAGCAGGACAAAATACCATAAAATGGGTCATTTGAGTGAAAAGTGTGTTGATACTATTATTTGAAATTCATATGGAATCATTGCAATAAAGATATTATAATAGGAGTGTGTACATTAACAGATCAACTTAGTTCCCCTTCTCTCCTATTTTGAAGGCCCTTCATGAGAAAACTGAAGTCAATATTTGATGCAGCCTAGTGCTTTCAATCTTGAGTTCAGTCTTGGTGGTCCCCGAACACAAAAGGTATTTAAAGAGGATCTGTGGTGAAGGAAAGGTTGAGAACCACTGGTTTAGATGGTTGGTTGGGGCTTAGACTACTGTCCACATCGCAAACCTGGCAAGCAGTCTCCCATGCTACATGGAGAAATTCTTGTGAAGGTTTGTGACCTCAAGTGGGGACCAAAGGAAAAAGGAAGGAAAAGGACCTCCATCAATCACACCTAAAACGTCTACCTGAAGTAGTTCTTTGCAGCTTGTAATTTTTCCTGGAAAAAAAGGAGGGGGCAACAAGATTTGAAGGATGCAGTGTGTTCACTGTGTGAACATTTTATATCATCCCTCAATCTAAAATTATCTCTAAGCCATCTTTAAGGGTGGAAATAGCAGGCAATTTCTTTGTTTCAAGTAAAGAATCACATTAAACCCTATGCCTTCAGCTGCAAGAGAACTTCTTTAAGCTGGCAAGAACCTCTCGTCAGTTTAAAATGTAAACCAATGCTTAATATAAATGTATTCAAAGGACATGATGTCAGCAGGGCACTCTTATGGGGAGGCCCACAGAAATGGCTGGGAGCTGAAGAAAAGCACAGGAAGTGCTCCTGCGCATCACCCGACGAGCACGATAGCCAGGGTGTACAAGAGGATTTTCAAAATAACGAGGTCACCACCATATTTTTTAAAACAGAGCTCTTTCCCTTCTTTATTATTAGTGCGTGATCATTTCACTTTCCTGTTTAAAAGGACAAACTGAATGAAAGAGAGAAGGCGAGTGAAATGCAAAGCACATTAAGCAATCCTGAAAACACACACTGACTCGACTGGGGGAGGGAGTGGCGGGGGGTGAGGGGAGGCTGTGACCAAAGCCAGCCTTGTAATAGTATAATGACCTTTAATGAGTGTCTTGGGAAACAATGCAGTCCTAGCATGAAAGACAAAGGGCAAAACCGATCAAGGTTCTGCTGACACTAATTCAAAATGATTTTCAGAACAACTGAAGAATGTAAGAAAGGTAATCTGATCCCCCAATCTGACCTCACTTTGATTCCAGAGTCTTACTGCTGCCATTTCTAATTGTCAAGCACTCTACATTTCACATGTGCTCATATTTAATGAAAAGCCAGCCCTCACCACTGTTCTTTAAGCTAACCAGCTCTTGTCAAGATGGGCATTGTCTGACCTCTTCCTGCTGGAAGGGGAACGCTGATTTCTATTGAAGCCCTGCCAATGGGATTTCAAGGACATGTGTGAATGTGGAGATGCAGGTACTGCAGCGGGGGACCATTCGGTATCAATGAGCGAGCACTGGTCTACCAGGGGCAGGGGCTTATACTGATGTTTGGATCGTTTCTTATTTGCCATCCAAGGCGAACGATCTTGCACAAAGAACGCAATTGTGTTTCTGTGCGATGGCATGTTGACAGATGGAAGGCAAGATGAAAGCAGATCACACGGAAGGACTCTGAGCCAGCAGCATCGTCTCTGTGCCTGTTTGCCATGTGTGGCTAAAGTGTTTTTCAGCACAATCCAAACCAGAATCTCTCTCTTCTTCTTCCACAGCCAGCGGTAAAAATGGAAAGTGTTGCACCAGCCTTTCAGATTATGGGTTGTCGTTGTCTGGCAGATGCTGCTACGGGTGGGAAATGTACGGGCAATAACTGTATTTAGTGAACTGTCTAGAGTTTACAAATACTCCGATGATGATGTAGTCACATTTGAGTGAAAACTGTACTGTACAACAAATACAAGAAGTGCAGGGTATAGGATCTCTGCTATGCCATGGGGAGATGGTGGACTGAGACTGGGGAACAAGTGGTACCCACTTCACCCTTTCCAAAAAAGCCCATCCAACCCCATCTTTATTAATGGGGAGGCACCAACTTACAGTCATTGGTGGTTTTGCTTTTATCTACCAAGAATTTTGGCACTGAGAGTTTTATTACTGGGACTACTTCTTCTGAACTGTATACATTGTTATATATTAGGCCATGATTGATTGCCACTTTGGATAAAAAGTGAAATTGGGACATGCAATTTTGAATTAAATAATAATTAGATTCCCATTCTAATCTCTTGCAAGAATCCCCGGTGCCACAAAGACTCTAAAGGTACATACCTCACAGAAACAATGGATTAGGGCCGAACTACCTCGGCTAATCCTAGTTCTCAATGAAACCAACAAAACGAAAATTATAATTAATATTCCCCATAGTTTTCAGTCATCCACATCTAATTTATAGTACAATTCTATGCAGATGGGAAATAGTGAACCTGTTTGTCCATGTTATGCTTTGTTCTTGGCTTTAAAATGATTGCTTTCTGTTTACAGGTTAGAGTAATTTCAAACAATCAGCCCAGAAAACTGCAACTAACGAGAAAAGAAGCCTATGCAGTAGGGACGCAGAACTGTAGAGAAATTTTACTGCTGTTCTGATTGGGGGGAGTGAAAGAGGGGATGCAGATGGAGCTGGCAAGCGGGGTAGTTTTGCTGTTGGAGAAAGAAGACAGAGGGCAGATGGAGTGTTGTAGAGGAACAGGAGACAAAAGCTCAGCTGAAAGCTTGATTACTGGAACCTATACTGCCAATAGACCAGAATGAGCTGAAATTGCTTCATTGCTAGATCTTATCAAGTACGGGAACAGTCTAGACTAGGCTTGGGCAGATACATTTTCCCATGCTATTTTTCCCCATTCCTAATTTTTCTTAAGGTTAGCTGCTAAAACTGTTTATAGGGAAGTCTGTTTATGGGGAAATACCATCACATGAACTGTTCAATTCTGATTATTCAAAACCATAAGAAAATTCTACATGTACTGCTAGCTTAACCTTATCTGACACCTTGTTTTCACCATGCACCTAACTGCTTTGCCACAGAGAGTTGTCTGGGACTGGATGTGAGATGCAGAAGCAAAGGGGCTGCTTTATGAAAGCAACCAGGAAATCAATACGCATATGGCGGCAGTGGTGGCGATGACAGGAGGGGCTAAGCAAGCTGATTTGATGGGATTGTCTCCTTCTCATGGTACAGGCTAGAGCCTCTATTGTCTTAGCATAAGTATGTCCAACTTGGTTCAATGAGGCTTACTCCATGTATGTCCAGGCCGGACTGCATCTTTAGCCTGGATCTAACCCACAGGTATTACAGTCAGCAGCAACCTCAGCTGAAGTGTGTGCGTGGGTTGGGTCGGGTGTTGTTTTACACATTTGGACTAAATATCTTTTCTTGAGTTGCAGTATTGAATCTTGGGAGATTCAAGCAAAGCTACCAACAAGTGGAAATGAAGTGGGGAACTACTGCAGTGCTACATAAGAGAAGGAAGAAGCTGGATGGGTTGCTTCGGTTCCTGTCCGAATGTAATGCAGGAGATTACATTCCTTCAGTGGGAATAGGCCAGGTTGCTTGCTTGCTTGCTTATTTATTTACATATATTTATAGGCTGCCTATAAGTGCCGAGACCTTCCTCTGGTGGCAGGTACTGGCAGTAACCCAACACTCTTTCCTGAATCAGCCCCTATGCCCTGGGGGTTGTGCCTGGACAGATGGGAAGGGTCTAGTAGGTGCAATGGGACAGATAAGGAAGGTGTCTGGCCTGGATCTGTCCCAGAGGTCAGCAGTTACTCATCTGTGCTTTATTCTTTGTTTACTCCCATGCTCAAGGCAGAACTCTGCAAATCATGATAGTAACATGGTAGAAGTGAGTCAACCATACGTGGAGCCTGGCAGTTCCAAGTCTTTCACTTGTTACCTCTGAAGCTGACCACCAACTTCTCAGGTTCTAGAACTGGTTACCTGCCACAGTCAAATTTTACTCATTGCACTAGTGAAATAGTTGTTTGCAAGGCTATTCTTTCCCTAGCACTCATGGACAACCAGTCCCAGACACACAACTAGTTAAAGTAGCTATGTGACCCTGGCTTTTGGAATTGGAGGGCGATGGAGGTGAAAACTGCAGGAATGCCCTAGCAATGCTAAACAACCATACATCTATGCTACTTAGTTGTGATAAAAAACTGGATCTTCTGCAGACTTCCGAAGGTAGTCCTCAAGGTTAAACAAGTTCTGCTCAATGTACCACTCAAACTGTTCTAAATCTACCTAAAATGTCTACAGTTTTCTCCAATCTGTTGTCTAGAGATGTAGAAACACCACAACCATTTGTTACAATTTAACAACCATTGTACAGTTCATATTAATTAGAAACCAAATCTCATGAAACTGCACCATCACCAAGATGCACTTATTTTCTGCCTGGAAAGCTCAGAAGGGGAAAGGAGAGCAACAATTAAACAAAATATTGATACACATATTTTTAAAACAAAGCACACAGCAAACAATTTCGATGCGGAGCTGTATAAATCCACACAGTTATAAGGGGAGGGAAGTCCAACCCAAGACTTGGCTAAAAATAGCAAATCCAAGAAAACCAAACAATAGATCCACAACGTACAACACAGGACAGGGATGATGCCACAGACACGACAGACATGGAACAGTGTGGGCTGGTGTTAAAACTTACAGGCACGTAAATTGGTGGAGCAATCATTAACAGAGACAGAAGAAAGTGGGAAGGCTCTCTCAAGGGTGTCCATGTTACTATGCACACTGCCTGGCATGCAAGCGCAGTCACGCTCTGAGCGTCCGCAATCAAAACAGCATGCCAGTTTGATTCTCTTGTAGATGGACCGCTTGGCTATAACCATGGGTTGGATGGGAGGAGAGGAAGAGCAGCAGGTTAATGGAAAGGTTAGATAGAACAATGCAGCTGGAAGCTCATTTGAGGGACTGGAGATACAGGCCTTAGCTAAGGACAGTCTTGACCCAAGAAAATTGACCCAAGAAAATGCAAGACGGTTTTGATTATTAATTACCCTTTGGTTCTGGATCAACTGGAGGTGAAGATATAATTGGCCCTTATGTTCTGTCTAGCTTCCTGTTTTGCTTTGTTTTGTTTTTTTGACTCAAGGAAAAACTGGAAGACCATAGTGAAGCAAGAAAATTGTAAGGCCTTTTTTATCCCTTTTAGTACCATAAACATTAAAAAACCGTGGTAGGGAAATGGGGCCAATAAATTAAATTATTTAGGTCCAGGTTGCTTCTTCAGCAGCATGTGGCCTTGATTTTGTTTTCTCCAAATTAAACAAGGGACAAAAAACAATGGGGTGTCTGCACCCCCTATAATTGTTTTCCACCCCACCAATTCTCTTCTGCAAGCAGTGACACCCCTCACAACTTTTATTGTGTAAGTGGGACCCACCACTTCCTAAGGAAAGCCTCAGAATAAGCACAAGCACTGATATCTGGAAGGGAAGGGTCCGTGGGCATTGCTGAGAAGAGCAGAAACCCATTTAACGAGTATTTACATTTGAGGAAATAAAACCGCTCCAGCGGAATATCCAATTTTGCCAGCGTAAGAGACACTGCTCCTAAAAAGCATATTGGGAGGTTCAAGATTAAAGGCAGTTCACATGTAAGCCACTGCCGGGACAGACCAAATATGTCTCCATTGGAACACGATGGAAACTCATCCTATTTTCTCTGAAACATATGTATCAGTAGAATTTAGTATTGCAACTAAATTCAATTCAATTGATGACAAGCCATAAAACGTCATTTCCCCGCTTCCAGTCAGGCTGCTACAGCTCAATGTAAACGGGGAGTTCTTCAACGTGAAATAGTCCCAGGTCTATGCATCCCCAGCATGGTCTCTTAGCAAAGAGATTTTGCCATTTTTCTCAATTCTTTAAGGACGATGTCATTCAGAAATATATAATGGTTCCCCATGTTACACTGGACCATATTTATTGCTAATGGCTTAGTATGAACTAATTTAATTTTGGAGCAAAATAAACAAACAACTTTGGCTTTTGGCCTTGCAGAAAAAACAGTCACAATTCCATGCTAATTTAAAACATTTTCCATTGGCTTTTTCTGGGGGGGACCGAGAAAGGAGGATATAAATTTCCCCAGATGGGTCAAGCCCTGTTCTAAGGCCTCTATAACTTGCCATATATAGTATATTTGTCAAGCAAAGGGTAACGTCATGGTTGGAGGGGAACAGGCACTGAAGGAGATGGATGAGTGGTCCCTTCAGCAGTGACTCCGTTCCTCTAAATTTTTGCTTGCAATTCTTGTGGCATGTGCTATTAGCATTCACTTTGCAGCTGCTCGCTGTGTTGACATGCAGAATCAGGCTTGGTCAGCATACCATACATCATTCTCCAGAACGTGATTTTTCAAAACAATTTTAAGAATAAAGCAAGGGTTCCACTACAGCTTTTGATAGGCAACTACTGAAGCTAGTAAAATTATTCAGGAGAGCAACATACCCACCATTCTTTCCCTTCTCCCTTTTTTCGGCCCCACTCATTGAAGGTTTATGGAGGAAACAGATCAAAACCATTTCTTCATTCAACGAGTTTATGTTTCTCCAAAAGTACTTCCCCTCTCCCTTTTTAAAGTTTGCTCTTTGGCTTCTTCACCAAGGAAAAATTAGTACTTTTGCTCTGGAATGGACTCCGAGATGGTGAGAGAAAAATGAAGGCTTTTCCACCCACAGGATCAACTGTTTCTGCTACTCAAATGCTGTAGGGAACCCCAAGTAATTGTCAGGGTTACAGTGTTTTGAGACTGGTTAGTAACAGCCCCTGCTTTTCATTTAAATCTAAGTTGAATTTTGTCAAAATGCAATCACAGAAAAAGACACTGGGTGGGGGCGGAGGGTGGAGAGAGAAGAAAGGAAAACATTTAAGAAATATTTGCTTCAATGAGTACCCATGTTTTTCTACTCGGTAATGGAACTGGTGCAAGACACATTTTAAGACCCAATGCATTTCAAGGGCTGTTCTTAATTATTAATATCAGTTATACTGAAAACCATGCATCACTTTCTAGCTCACTTTGTTAACATGCAGGGAACAATCTCGAATCTGATAACAAGCTTATCAAAAGATCTTGCTATGAAGGTTTTAATCAATCATTACATGAGCAATTGCTATCAAAGAAACACAGTTTGGAAGGCAATGAGCTTATCATGCATCAAACCCCGTTCCACAATTATTTGGCATTCATACCGAAAAGAAGAGGAAAATAAATATTTCGAGATGCACCCACACTTAAAACAAGATGGAGTTATTAGGAATAATGGTTGCTGAGCAGATTAAAGACATGATGAAATGATTAGAGGTTGTGCAGCCAGACACATACTGTTTCCCATTACACCATCAAAAATGTTAATTAAATGTGGCAATCAGCAGAAAGATGGGAGACTCTTCCATACAGCTTCATTAATTTCGGTGCCATGGTACTCACTTCACCTCTCACATTTCTAGAACCCCTCTCCATCACACCCTCGAAAAAAGTCAGCTGGCTGCTAAACGGACTTGTTTATTTGACAAGTAAAGCAAGCAGGGATGAAAACCTCCTCCTTCTCTGCTCATGACCCATTTTTGTTACCATTGCCTCACTAACGGTACCACTTCTCTGCCCCGCAGGTCCACCATCAATGGTAGCAAAAATAAATAAATAGATAATAAACACAAAAGAAACATAAAAATGGATCTATGAGGACATCTAGTGGAACACTGCCAGAGAGTGTCTGGCTGAAGAAAACCTGCACTTGGTGTCCGTCAACTGGGGGTGAATAATAATAAAAAAGGACTGAACTACCATTAAGAATTGAAATGGATATACTGTCATTTCAATTCAGGTCCTCTTATGATCCACAGCAAGAGGTAAATGACAACAAAGGGAAACGTCACAGCGAAAGGATGGGCACAAAGGAACGGTGGTGTTAGAGGAACAGCGAGATTGATTTAATTTGCCTGGTGGTGACATTGGTTAAGATCATCGGCCTGCAGTTCCCCTGCAGCAGAGTTTCAGATTTTTTTTAAAAAAAGTACAGCAGTGCGTGTTAAACCCGCTTGTGCCAATGGATTTCCTCAGCGCAGCAGGAGAGGGGCTTTCCCCTTTGCCTGACTGCACAGCATGTTGGGGAACTACGAAAGCTGCTGAGCAAAGCCTTCCTGCTTCTTCTGCAATTTTTACAAAGCTTGGACTTTAATATAATTTGAGTTAAGGGAATCCGCTAGTTGCTCCTGATCACCTGCTGGCCACCAGGGCTTTGCAGTCCAGCAAAGAAACCCAATAGCATTCTACTGTGAAGAAGCTTGCATAATGCTTCCAAAGTCATGCTTGAAAGTGTGCAATGATCAGCTTTGTGCATTCCTACCATTTCTTCATTCTACATGGATATTAGAAAACTTCCTGATAAACCAAAGAGATCGAACCAGCCAATCCCAAAGGAAATCAACTCTGACTGCTCTTTAGGAGGTCATATACTCAAGATGAAGCTCACATGCTTTGGCCACCTAATAAGAAGGAACGACTCACAGGAGAAGGCCCTGATGCTGGGAACAATGGAAGGCAAAAGAAGAAGGGACAGCAGAGGATGAGGTGGCTGGATGGAATCACTGGGCGGTGGGTGTGGGCCTGGGTGGACTCCAGGGGATGGCAGAGGACAGGAGAGCCTGGAGGAATGTTGTCCATGGGGATGTGATGGGCTGAGCACAACTTCGCGACTAAACAAAAAAATCAAGCTTGTAGGTAAAAGAATAGATCCAAATGTTGCTGAAAACCTAGTGTTCATTTCAATCAGGAAAGCAAAAGATAAAATGAATAGGTCTTGTTTAATGCTTTTATTTATACTGTGTTGAACCTGATCTGGCTGGGTAGGTACTTTTCCTCATTTCAGAAACCTACTTGGACATTAATCCATTCTCATGGTGGTGAAGCAGGACTAACGGTGCACTCGAAGTAAGATGCAAAGTACATGCCCCACGGGGCGGGGGCGGGGGTGTCCCTGCCAAGTCTGCATTGCAGTGGTTTACACCACCTATTACTCTAGGTGTACTTCAAAAGGGTTTGCGGCCACTCGGCCCATGGAGAACTGCCTGGGGAAGGGCTCTGAACTGGGACTTGTCTGCCGAAAACTTTAAAAGATGACATGATCACGTAGTACAATTCCAGAATCAAAGATCTTTTCTCAGAAGTCACCGATACAAAGATTGAAGTGTGCGCTTAATTATTTTGCTGAATTGTGGACCTTTCCGCCATCCAAAAAGAAATGATGATATATATTAAACTTCAACCTTTAAAAATCAACACAAATATTGTGTTTTAGGTATAATTAATGTAGCTAGCATAAACTTATCTTGCCCAAATGAGAGCTGCCATATTTCCCTAAGTTGCTCTGGGAGTTGGCCAGGAAAGGTTCTGATGCCCGTCTTATCCCAGATGCTTTACAAGTTGGAAGTGAACCATCTAGACACCACAGTTACCTCTTTCCAGAAAAATGAAAGGAAATATAAATTAATGGCCATGTCCTTGTCAGAACAGCTAGTTCTGCTAAGGGGTGCTTTACCAAAAGTTGAAGATCATGTCTGACTCTCTAACTCTTTAGCTCTGCAACACTGAAAGAAACCACAGTCGTGGGTTGTTCCATCCCACTCCTGGCTGCATCTCCCTCACATTCTTGGGGGCAAAAGGAGAGTCCTGTACCAGGAGGGAGGAAATCAGCATTGGCAATGGAGCCAAAGGAGGGGACAGAGAAGCTTGATCTGCACTTCCTTTGGTTGCCACAGAATGGCTTTGGATTGCATTGAGCACAGAGTCACTAGAGGAAAACTAGGCCCC